GTTGATGGGATTTGAACACCCAACCTACCACTTGGAGGGTTGACAACCTGACCACTTCACTAGGTCGCCACACCCCTCCTTCTAAATTCTTCAACAACATATTATTTTGACTACTTATATATTGTGATCATACCTCTTTTTCTTTTCCAGATGCTTCAACTTCATCTGTCAATACTTTCAAACTGGTTTGACCTCTTATCTCTTTTAACAGTCTAGTTACAATTTCTTGTTTCTGACCTGTTTCTGATAGACCCATACCACAACAAACAAATTTCAAAGCCTCCAGTAACAATTGATTTAGGTTTGACTTCAGGCTTGTTTGCACCATTTTCGGAGACACAGAATCACTTGACACTATCATGGTTTCTGAATCTTTTCCACTGATCGCCATTAGAACTGTAATAATTTTTTTTTTTTTTAATGCAAGATCGTTATAGAACTTAGTAGTCAAGAAAGCTCATTCTACCTTCTGTCTTAGGAATATGAGATATCAAATGCAACGTAAAAGAAAAAGGTTTTATTTATATATTAAAAAAGTAACATAAAAGTTTGCATGAAAAAACCAGACAAAGTCAGGTTAGCAGAAAAAACAGAAGTTATCATATCTAGGAGAAAGCCCGTCCCTTAAATATACCCATCGACCACAAAACAGCATCATTACATAATTATGTTGTTAATATCCTAAGCTCTAATGACGTAATTACGACAATACTAAAATAGACTCTCATCAATTACAAATAGAAATTACTACGTGGTTACATAACCCCATCGATAAGCTCTAGCAACTACTGATCGAAATTACTACGCAATTACGTAACCACTACTTCATATAACCTTACTAAAAATCGTTCGATTATGGATTCATACTCCATGATCGATTTGAGACAAAATTCTGCTCTGATACTCTCATATCAAGCAGCTAATTAGTATCTAGAGATGGGCAAATCGTGGTTTCTCCAAAAATCCCGTGCGGGATTCATTAAACCACAAAATTTTAAGCCTAATTTCACTTAATGGGCGGCCACGATTTTTTTACTAAAAATTTGAGTAATTTAGTCTAAACTTTTGGTCGTTGCCATTGGTCAATTAAAATAGTAAATTTCCGCAAGGTTTAGTAGCAGTAATTACATTAAGCATGTCCTTGGTTAAAGGTTTCATCTGATCCAATTTTTGTAAGATGATTCCAAATATTATTATTACTACACATGTTATTTATTTTTAAAAGAGTAACTTAATGATAAAGAATATTTTTGTAATGTAAACGAAAGATACCAATGGCAAAAAAGGTAAAATTTTATCGTATATATAAATAAACATATGTGTGAAATGGTATGCAAATAAATAAATAAATTTTAATTAGGAATTGGCTAAATATGTTAATGCAGGTCAGATATTATATTAATGCTAGTTAGATATTATAGTAATGCCAGCTGAATAATCTTATTTCGGGATCATATTAAAAATCCCGCGCAGATCTCGCGCGTGCCCATCTCTAGTGTGTTCTAACTAACTGAAAGTATATAATAATGACGTTTTGCTCTAGAAGAAAAGGAGCAAGTGTTCGTGATTCAACTAAATTTGTCTCCTTATAATTGTACATTTCCTACGTTATAAATAAATACTTACATCCAGATCTACTGCTTAAGTGGCATAAGTGGTACAATTATCATTCTTGTATTCTTGCTCACGTGATAAACGTAAAAGGTACTGTTACTCAGTCCAGTTGATTCTCAACGTACTAAGGACTACTGTGGTCATCTTCCAATTCTCCCAATGTACCGTGGACAGTTGAGGTTATTGTAATCTGGTTTGAGGTCCAAGTGGAAGGTCCCAGCCATGGTTTGGTTATAGTAATAGTGGATAGTAGATAATAGTTAGTTTGTTAGTAAGCCGTTTCCAAGGATTCAAAACAAGAATAAGGAAGAAGACATATCTACGATCTTGACCTCACTCGCCAAATATAACCGCCTCTTATCGACTAAGCCATTCGTAGGTTACACGACGTATCAATTGTTGAGTGACCGACTTGCCATTCAACGTTGTCATTAAAAATTTATCCCTGATCATCTGATATGTATACGTTGACATGGGCGAAACGAAGAGTCAGTCGCTTGACAAATGGGTATGTCATGTAACCTATGAACGGCTTAGTCAAAAGTAGGTGGTTAGATGTGGTGAGTTGTATGTTTATGATCATAGGTTTTACAAGATAATGAAACAGAATTATTATAGGGGTGAAATTTTATGATAAGCACTAACTAAACTGTTTTTGTAGAGCGTGAAGCCTTTATTATATATTGTTATATTACATATAAGCTCTTTAAGGTACTAAAATATTAAATGTATTATATCTCTTATATCCCTTTAACGTTCTTTATCACTTAAAACCCTTAAATCTCGTATATCCCTTTTTCTACCATTTTCTCTTAAAACTCTTATTGCTCCTATATCTCCTAACAGATCAAAAAGAACTATAGGATCAGAAAATCCCAGGAAGCCCATATTAGGTAGATGATTGACATAGCCGCTGACACGGGTGAATGGCGAGTCAGTTGCTTGACAGATGGATATGTTGTGTAACCTACGAACAGCTTAGTCGATAAGAGGCGGTTAGATTTGGAGAGTGGTGTGTTTGTGATCGTAGGTTTTATAATGTATTGTCAAGAAAACAGGAAAGTATTTGGGTCAAAAATGTATTGCAAGCACGAATAACTACTGCTCAGGTAGGGCTCAAAGCCTTTATTATATACTGTTATATTACTTATGCGCTCCTACAGCTATTAAAGATATTAAACTTATTATTTATCGTATATACCTTTAATGTCCTATACTACTTAAATCTCCGATATACCATATATTCCTTTACTTATAGTTCTTCCTTAAAACCCTTATCACTACTATTACTCTTATAATCGCTAAACGACTTTTAAGAGCGATAATCCTGGGAAGCTTATCTTAGGTAGATGATCGACATAGCCGTTAGTTATTACTGCGCCACCTTGATCACCTCCTTTCATGTGTTTCCGGGATCATGTTTCAGGTGTGAGCCATGAAATGTGATCTCAGAAGCATGTGGAAGGAGGTGTTGATGTGACGCAGTAACAACCAACGGCTATGTTGATCATCTACCTAATATGGGCTTCTCGGTATTATCGCTCCTAAAAGTCTTATTGGTCCTAAAAGTCTTTTAGATCTGTAAGGAGATATAGGAGCAATAAGAGCTTTAAGAGAAAATGGTAGTAAAAGAGATATAAGAGATTTAAGAGTTATAAGTGATAAAGGATGTTAAAGGGATATAAGAGATATAATACATTTAATACTTTTAATACCTTAAAGAGTGCATATGTAATAAACCAATATACAATAAAGGCTTCGAGCCCTACAAGAAGCAGTAGTTTGTGCTTGTAATAAAGTTTGACCCTAATGATTCTCTACCTTTGCTAGATTCCTAAAACCTATGATCATAAACATACCACTCTCCAAATCTAACCGCCTCCTTTCGACTAAGACATTTGTAGGTTACATGACATATCTGTTTGAAAAGTGACCAACACACCAAGACTGGTTCTCTTATATCATTTTGGTGGTGACTGTGAGATGAACTAAAAGAAGCCAATATCAAAGCTGAAGTTTTGAGGCAAGAAGTGAGGTGAACCTGCCTGTAAGTCATAATGATAGAGCCTGGTCTTGTGAGGAATAAGACCTGTGCAAAAAGGGTGAAATGCCTGTGTATTAAAAAGCTGTGATAAAGGTTAAAAAGAAAAGAAAATCCCCCTGAAATAAAATATAACTGTGAAGTAAAGAAAAGCCTAGGTGGTCTAAACTTTTTAATTTTGTGCTCCTGACCAAAGTCGTTTCTTAAAGATTTCTAAAGCCCACAGAACTCCCTGAAAGTGAGGCCAAAAAGAATGAATATAATCCCTGCAATAGCTCTCTGGAACTACATAGATTGGACCCTCCTGTTGGCACATATAATGTTGGACATTTCCATCGAAATGGAATGGGTGTCGAAAAAGATGAACAAAAAGCCTTCATCTATTATCAAAACCCTGCCGATATGAGTAACGCTAATGGTACATATGATGTTGGTTATTGTTACCAAAATGGGAATGAAGTTCAAAAGAATGAACGTAAGACATTCAAATACTATAAAAAAAATTCTGCGGAAATGAAGAATGCCGATCAAACCAGAGCTGCCACCACCAAAGAAGGAAGATGAAGATATAGAAAGAAAACTTAAAGAAAACAATGAGCAAATATGGTTGTTAGTAAAATGAACCAAAAATGAAAAATGTAAAAAAAAAAAAAAAAAAAAAAAAAAAACTTATTGACAGTAATCGTTTAAGACAAAAATTTAGAGGCTCTATGATGCTCTTATTGTACCTAAGAAAAAGTGAAAAAAAAAGAAGTAATAAATGAAAAGTTGCCAAAATACCTACCTGAGTTTGGAATTTGCCCAGATTTGTTCAGCAAGTATATGCGTGTACACATAAACTAAGTGAAGGAGGAATGTGAGCCGTGAAATGTGATCTCGGGAGCATGTGAAAGGAGGTGTCAATATGACGCAGTAACAACCAACGGCTATGTTGATCATCTACCTAATATGGGCTTCCTGGTATTATCGCTCCTAAAAGTCTTATCAGTCCTAAAAGTCTTTTAGATCTGTAAGAAGATATAGGAGCAATAAGGGCTTTAAGAGAAAATGGTAGTAAAAGGGATATAAGAGATTTAAGAGTTATAAGTAATAAAGGACGTTAAAGGGATATAAAGAATATAATACGTTTAATACTTTTAATAACTTAAAAAGCGCATATGTAATAAACTAATATATAATAAAGGCTTCGAGCCCTACAAGAAGCAGTAGTTTGTACTTGTAATGAAGTTTGACCCTAATGATTCCCTACCTTTGCTAGATTCCTAAAACCTATGATCATAAACATACCACTCTCCAAATCTAACCACCTCCTTTCGACTAAGACATTTGTAGGTTACATGACATATCTGTTTGAAAAGTGACCAACACACCAAGACTGGTTCTCTGGTATCATTTTGGTGATGACTGTGAGATGAACTAAAAGAAGCCGATATCAAAGCTGAAGTCTTGAGGCAAGAAGTGAAGTGAACCTGCCTGTAAGTCGTAACAATAGAGCCTGGTCTGGTGAGGAATAAGACCTGCGCAAAAAGGGTGAAATGCCTGTGTATTAAAAAGCTGTGATAAAGGTTAAAAAGAAAAGAAAACCCCCCTAAAATGAAATGTAACTGCGAAATAAAGAAAAGCCTAGGTGGTCTAAACTTTTTAATTTTGTGCTCCTGACCAAAGTCATTCCTTAAAGATTTCTAAAGCCCAAAGAACTCCCTGAAAGTGAGGCCAAAAAGAATGAATATAATCTC